ATACGGACTCTTTAAGCGATCCTGATCAAGAATATATGTATACCGTAAGGGTTCAAAACCGCTACCTTCTGCATGACCCTGTAAAATCTGGGCATCGGCCGCTTAAGATTAAATAAAAATCAAATACTAAAAATAAACATTCAGTGTGTCTGTGGTGTTGGGATTTCTTTATAAACTGATGCACTATGGGGTTTGGGTAATCTTCTTGTTTGCGGAAACCTTTACGCATCTCGTCGATTAATTAGGAGGCCTTTCAGCAGACTGAAATTTTAATTTGACCAATTGCAGCTAAATATCGTCTTGTGTAAATTTCTATTAATTTCTGCCAATATTGCAGAAAAAGTTAAAATGCCTACTAATTGAGTCACGGGTATCTGATAGTCGGGGAAATCGACTATACCATACTCTTATTTATATTGGGACCCATCGACATTGTAGGTCGGACTGTTTGTCTTCGATTGGCTAAATAGAATGAAACGGGAGTTGATATGCGGATGAGTGACTGCAATAAAATAAAGGACTTGATATGTTGGTTGATTAAGAACAACAGCTCGAGAGAACATCAAAAGGATACCGGACGAAAATAAATAAATAATAATAAAAAAATAATATGCTATAGTCGAGTTCCACGACTATCAGATACCAGTATAGCTAGTGGAAGTGCAAACGTGAAATTTAAACATTTCCTGGAATATCGGTAGGAATTATGGAAAAAAAATAATAAAATGAAAGAAAAGAAAAAAACTTAAATTTTAAAAATTTGTGGTTTTACGGCTTGTGGGCGTAGAAAAAAGTTTTTGGGTAAATCTATAGAAATTAATTAGATAAATAAACAAATTAAAACATAGGTGGAGGTGGAGTCTTAATTGTGGTTAGGTCTACACTAACTTCAGAGGACGTATTTTTTGAGTTCCTTAACATAGAATTCATGTGCGTAAAGCTGTTGTTAGAACGATCTAAATAAAATACGTCTACATTTGTTGAGTTATACCCTCAAACCGCCTGTATTTTGCATAAGTCCTAGCTTAGGTAGCTTACATGAAATTCGTAAAACTACTTATCTACTTAAAACTATTTAGACCGACTCGTCGCGGGGGCAATCTTGTGACCCGAGCGTGGGAATTCCCTGAATAGCACTTCGGGGTTCAATTACTTATTGAGTATTTTGAAGTGTTCAGATATTTTGGTGCTATAAAATACAATTGTTAGTTTTAAATTTACGGTGTGGTAAACAATATTATCTTGTATACAATGTCATGTTAATGTGTGAACAGCTGTCATTTTCCAAACATCGCTGTTTATATGGCAGCTCATACATTCCTCCGTCTTCTAAATTCCTTGAGTATTTTAATCATTTGTCCGATATTGAACTGTCTTAAACAAGCTGCCCGATGGGCATATTGGTAGTCATAGGTTTTTTTTAATATATCTGGTACTACGTGGTCCTAAGAAGAACAAGAGAGAATGCTAGAAACAAGACAAAATAATTCAAAAGTTGCAAAACATTGTTCAAAAAGCTATACGTGGCAGTTTAAGGCACTTTGTGGGCGTGGCAAAGATTTTTCTGCAAATCGATAGAAAGCTACTAGACTAATAAACAAAATATAAAATATAAAAACATTTTTCCCGAATAAGCTGTCCGATAGGAACCAATTGAGAGTTCAAGGTGATTTGATTAATAATTGGCTTTAATTTGTCCGATCTTTACTCCTGCAACATAATGACGTATGCCATAACTATTTTTTACACGGCAATCAAATCATTTTTGAACTCGTGTTCCGATGTACTCTCCGATTATCTCCGACAAACCTTCTTGGTTTAATAAAAAGTTGACACACTTAAGAAATGTAAATTCCAGAATTTATTTAAAATTTAAGGATACCGGTTCTCAGTCTATATTTTCTAAATAATTAAGTGCTCGGTTAATGCTGTGTTACAAGAACTATTTAAACCGTTGTTAGTTCTAGTTGGCACAGGATCTGAAACAGTTTTATAACTTCTTTAGCTCTAAGCTCAGAACGATTTCATACCGTTCCTTGTTATTTTTGGAAAATACTGTAACATCGGATCAGGCAATAGTCAATCCATTTGGCCAGTTTTTTCAAACAACATATTCTTCGATACCTTATTCCGAACAGACTTACTTTAGCGCGGTATCAAAATTTAATTTAATATTTTGTCCCACTCTAAATGAAAGCTCAGTGCTTTACGATCTTCAGCTGTGTTTTTAGGTTCTGTGCGGAAACCCTTTGCAAGTTTACCTTAACTCTGGAATCCTTACAGTTCCCCCATATATGGAAGGAGTCCCTTTTGATCCCCTCCATAAAAATGGTACCAAATTTGTTGCAAGCAATTACAGAGGAATCTCTAAATTTTCGGCTATACCTTAGCTTTTTGAAAATGTTATCACTCCTCATTTGCAGCACTTTTGTAGGTCAATTATATCACCGTGTCAGCACGGTTTTGTGAAACCCAGATCAACAACCACTAACGTTTTAGAGCTAAGTTTCTTCCAAATACAGGGCTTTAAAAATAATTGTCAAATAGATGTCATCTACTCTGACTCTAGTAAAGCATTTGACTCTGTTAATCATTCACTTTTGGTTAGGAAACTTGATTTAATAGGTTTCCCCGTTGATCTTCTAAATTTGATCTTTCTTGTATTCTCCGAGTCACATCCGGCGTCCCACAAGGGAGCCACCTTGGTCTGCTTCTTTTTTCTTTATTTATCACTTCCTTTGGTGATAAAACATTCTCGTGTACTTATGTACGCAGACGATGTTAAATTATGCCTAATTTTGAGGTGTTAACCCAAGACACGCGACAGAATGACACGTGTTAATGATCTTGGTGTTCTTCTAGACCGTATTTCGTCTATTGTCAATAACGCAAGGGGTACGCTTGGTTTTATAAAAAGGTGGTCAAAGGAATTTAATGATCCTTACATGACAAAAAAAATTATTCATTTCGCTAGTCCGTCCGATTTTTGAGTATCACCGGTTTGAACTCCGTATTGCGCACTCCACTCTGACCGCACAAAAAACTTTTTACTGTTTGGCTTACGGCGCATAATTTGGGATGCAAACCTTATATTACATACTTTTTCCAGTAGACTAATGTTAATTTACATTCATTAATTTAGCTAAACGTAGAACAATGCTTGGAGCTATATTTATTTGTGATCTGTTTCGTGATGACGTTGATAGTCCCGACTTGGTTAGTCGGCTGAACTCTGTTCCAAGCAGATTACCCCTAATTTTAAATCATTGTAGATCTAACTATGAGTTGCATGACCCCTACAGAGTATTATGTTCTGACTATAATCCCTATCCTATTATCTCTAATCCTGACTCTCTGCCGCTCTTAAAGCGATCAATACTAACTTTTTTAACACATAATTAGATCTTACTAATATTTACATAATTTCGCGTTTCTTTACTACTTTCTATATAGCGTCTATCTTCACGCGAATCGAGCCGTACGATACACGCAACGCCCCTCGGCCGGTTAGGCGGGACGTGTGACTGTGTTACTCGCGCGAAAAAGAAAAAAGTGTGGGCGTTTCAATTTTGGGCGGTTTGTGTGCGGCAGAGTAGGCGGTGCAAAAAGTTTATCGGCAAATCGATAGAAATTTACAAGACTAATAAAAAAGTTTAAAAATATCACATTTTTCAACAGTGTGGTCGTGACAGTTTTCTGCGGATTGTGGGCTTTCGAATGGGAGTGGAAACATTTGGAAATAAACTTGCGCTGCGTCTATGTCTTTGCAAGCTGCCTTCTTAATCGGAACATTCTAGCTTTTAATTTGTAATTCCTGAAATCGAGGCGTTCATACGGACAAACGTACGGATATGGCCAGTTCGACTCGGTTATTGATTTTGATCAAGAATATATATACTTTATATGATCGGAAACGCTTCCTTCTGCCTGTTACTTACTTACGAATCTAGTACACACTTTTACTCTATGTGTAACGGGTATAAATATAAGAGTGCCGTTCGTTCCACTGCTGGCGGCACCGACTGCGCAGCTCCGCGGCATAGGCAAGAATATTTTGAATAAGAAAGAAACGGACATTGAATAAATGAATCCAAAACGACTCTGACGTGTCTCCTGAAATGAAAATCTAAACTATTCACTGTATACAGCGTAATTATCGGAGTACTATAAGACTAGTCAAAATAATAAAACATCCGAATAATGCCTACATTAGGATAAAGAGCACTACATTACGGTCAAACGAATAAAGCAACTAGACTAGACTTACAAAATCTGAGTGAGTAGCGTGATGTGTGTCAAAAAGATTTATGTGAGAAATGGACAAAAAAGAGAGGTGGCATACAGAAAAATAATATTAAAAAAAAAGCCCCCTCACTTACGGCAGCTATTATTAAGATCCCTTGGCCGCTAGGCCATCTCACAAAAATTCAAGAGTATAAAGATAAACAGGAACGCACATTAACTCTGATATTCCAAACACTGCGAAAAGAATAATAAAACAAAATCCTTAAAAGAAAAATACATCCAGAAGCTGAAAAAGACCTGAAAAAGCTGAAAAGACCTGCCGGTCTGCGAGGGATGCATTAAACATGAGAATAAGGCCTGTGCAACATCCAGCTCCGGCAACGCCAAGCTTTTTAATCTGACCCCCGGAACCGAGTGTCTCAAAGGGTATATGTATAAGCAGGCAGCACCCAAAAAGGTGCAGGATCAACGACTTTCCCTAACCACCGCCCAGATGACTTGAAAGAAAGTACCAGTGGAAACATTGTAAGATTGAGCGGTAACCATTCTGTACAAACGATAGAAAGTAAAATGTAAAAAAATCATTACAATAACCTAACACTAAATTTTCTTTTTAAATTAGGAATACTCATATAAGTAAATTAAACCCCAAAGATGATTAAATATATTTATCGAATAAAATTACATACCCAAAATGGGGTTAGCACATGGTATGTTCCAAAGTAAACAGGACTATTAAAAAAAAAGACAACAAATGGTTTTATCGGCAAAAGCAATTAATTTTATTCAAAGTAGTCTCCTTCTGCTTTAATACAGCTTTATGCACGGTCCAAAAGCATGTCTAACGAGTGTTTCAGCTTGTTGCCCGGTATGGCCGCTGGTGCAAGCCTTCCTTTCATCGGTAAATGCATTTTTCTGAAAAGGTAGATACAAAAAATGTGAATTCGAATGAAAATCTTATAAAAAAGTAGAATCTTCGATGTTATATATGATTACAATCCTGCTGCTAGCCATTATTATATTTTTAGTAATACATTTATTTTAAAGGGATATAAACTAAAAAAAATTATATTAAAAAACTATGAATAAGAAATCATGAATAAGAATTATAAAAATGAAAAAAAACGAGCAAATAATCTTATAAATGTACGAGGCGATAAAAGCGTCAGTTGTCTTTTCTTTTCACAAACTAAGTGTTCTTTACTTTCTCAAATCGTTCCATTCTTAGCCTATTACTTATTACGACGTATTGGTGTGTCGGTTGCTCATCGTGCGACCGGGATACACAAAGTAGTGTCTGTAAGCACGAACTTAAATCGGGAATAAGCGGGATGCGTACATTGTGCTTAAAACTATGTGTGTATCTAGCAATGTATGTAAATTAGTTTATTATGTGTGTTAGGAGACGGTCCCCCGCTGCAGTCACTCTACTTTGGCCGGTTGGCCGATGAGCGTAGTCCACAGGTAGCGGGCGGTCGTTCCTCGCTCTAGTTGGAGATCGCTAAGAGCGTCTAGCCGCCTGGCTGTATTTCCTGTTGGAATAGGAAGGTTATGTTAGGGGAACCCTTCTTAACTGCTGGCCTAGATACACAGTCAGTTTTCAAAATGATAAAAGATATTTATCGGCTGTTGCCGGAGTAGCTAGCTCTTTTTAAGAAGAGGTCTCGCTTAGAACTGAATCTTAAATTATAACAAAAGCGACTCGCAGCGGCCACGCAAATATGCAGTGTTTTGCCAGCTGCGCACGAGCATCCGGCCCAACGCTGGGTCAGCACGCCGTTATTATGTTTCATGCACTGAGCCAACTGTTCTAGTAAGTTGGCTCGTGTTAACTACTGCCCCTTCAAGACTGAGGCCGCCCTCGGCCGCACCCAATTTAGCTATCATTTCATTGATTTGAATCGCGGATCTCCGTGCTCCGATGAAGCGTAGACAGGCAACACCGACACAAATCACTACGCAACAAACCGCTGCTGTGATTAAAATTATGCGATGCGACTTGTTAGTATTCATCTCTTTTCCAAACTCCTTAATGAACTCCAAGTTACGTTCACTTAGTCGGTGAAGGTAGGGGAGGCTCATAACTTCTCTGCTGGCGGTGATATTTAGAGATGGGAAGCTCGCGACCCCTGGTGCTCGAATCTGGGCCATGTCGTGGTTTATAAAGGTGGTGTCGTTTACCACATCGCGCTCGTTGAAGGTGATGAGGTTGGTACCGTGCAAGTGGACTTCGGCCCCGTTGTCCACTGTGACCCTGGTTGGCCGGTCATTGATAATGATAATTCCTTCATCCACATAGGTAAGCGGGTTTAGGTCACTCGGCTATGACTCGCAATGTGCCAACGCGCCTGCGTGAGCTTTCTGTTGAGAGCCGACAAAAGGTAGTCCCCGGCGTTGGGATGCAGTTTTTAATTGTGTGTACTTCACCGCCACATTTTGCTACCATGTTGCCGCTAATTCTGAGCATGACCTTGCGGGTGACCGGGAAAATTGTGACCTTCTTACAGGCTAATTTGATTTTAGGAAACTTAATGATAAAGTGTATTATGTTATCGGACTATAATACTTTCACGGACGATGTGGACATAAGATCCAGATATGTCTGCGAGGTCTAGTATGTTTGGACTAACAATATTGTTTTTTGCCAGTGTTCAGCCAGCATTAAATTTTGCAAGTCTATCATCAACATTCTATTCCTAGCTAGCAGCGTCTCATATAAATGGCCTGTGTCAATTTCCTTTTTTTTTATGTGTTCGTAAAATTTGATTTACTGCTGTTGTTAACTGGTTGATTCGATTCTGAATTTTCGTATTAATTTTAATCTGCCTATTGTTTGCCTGAGTCAACTGCCACTCCGTGAACCTGACCTCTTCTAAATCTTCGGCATCCGGCGTGCCGCTACTAACTTTAGCATTGCGCCCAGAAATGCTAGGCTCCTTGCGATCCTGTGGTGGACTCTTAAGGAATCCAGCGTGTCTCGCAGATGCGAGGTGTCGACCTCCAGCAACTTCCTCACATGTGACTGAGGAAACAATTCGCTCATGCTACTAGTTTCCTCTAACACTCGCACATACTCTGAAAGGTTTGCCGAGTGCGTCACATACGCATGTTCTTCCCACACTAGTATGTCTCCATCGATAATGGGAATATACTTTGCTCGTGAATAGTCAGTGATGTGCGCCGACACCACTGACAGTGAGAGGAGGACGAAAATCTCGCACCTGTGGAAATTTAACTTTTATTCACTTCTTCTTGCCCGCTGAGGTTTTATACCATCACCAATTAAAATTAGGTTAAACTAAAAAAAACTTGCCTTTGGCAATGAACTTAATACCTACTAAATTGAAGCTTGCCAAACGGCTGATAAAAGGTAGGAATAATAAAAAACTTAAAAAAAATGCCAAACGGCTGATACACTGTGAAGGGGCGGCGCATTAACGATGCTAACGCCAAAATGGTTGTCAAGCATTGCCGTGATCGTGTGCGATTTCAACGAAGGTTCGTTATCACAGTAGATCATTTTGGCCCTTGGGAAGAAATTCATGACCTATAACAGGGCCGGTTTTAAATCCTCGATGCTTCTTGACGGCACATGTTGTACAATGGCAAATTTTGAAAATTTGTCAATCCACGTGAGGAAATATTTCTTATCTGTCGAGAAAATGTCTATATGTAGCATTTCTCCCGTACGAGAAGGGATCGGTGATTCGCCAATCTCCTGTTTTTTTTGGGTCCCTATCGTACTGAGCGATTTCGTTGGCAAGTTTGGCCATTTTCGGGAAGTAGTACTCTGTGAGAACATGCTTCACGTTTTCTTGGGCCGATCGGTGGGCCCTATTGTACTCAGCTAACACGATCTCCCTCTTTTCCTCGACTCCAAAAATATCTGTAACACGATTTTTGCAGTGCCAGAATTTTGTTGCCGGCAATCTCCGAACTAAATCGTCCTGTATCGGGCGTTTACACCCCTAGGAACTATAGTGTCTGCAAGGTCATTAAGCAAGGACTCTTTGCCGGTGAAGTTAATCGCGTGCCGTTTCTTGTTCTTGAACAGAACGAACGAGCGTTTAAACGGAAAGCGGGCCTCCTCTAGAATTATTTGAATCTGGAAGCAATTTAGGGGCTTGTCCGTTGTTTCTATCGTGTGCGTCAGGGAAATTTCACTATGAATTGTCGCAACGCACGAATCTGCGTCCTGCTCTCCCATGACATTAACCTGCTGCCTGGAGAGGGCATCTGCAACCATATTTTCCTCTCCGGGTCTATATGTTACTTTCGCACCTATTTCCTCGATTCTTCCCTTCCACCTTTTAATTTTTGCGTTAGGGTTTGAATCGGACACTGCGAACGCCAACGGCTGATGGTCGGTGTAGAAAGTTATATCCTTTACCGCATACAGGTAGTGTCGCAGCTTAGCTAACGCCCAAACGATGGCCAATAGTTCTCTTTCGTTTGTCGCATTGTTAATTTCCCTGTCCTTTAATGTCCTCGAGATCATCGTAATAGGACGCCCCTTTTGGGAAAGTACTGTTCCAATACCGTAGGCCGAAGCATCCGTCGATAGATGGAATGGCTTCTTGTAATCTGGGTATCGGAGCATCACATCCTCGGATGCCAAAATCTTGCGCAGCTTTTCAAGAGTATTTTTTTGCGTTTCATTGATGTGCCGCGATCTATGTTCGAAATAGGCCTTGCTATCGCTGCAAAGTCCTTAATGAAGCACCTATAATAGCTCGCGAGGCCTAGGAACGATCTAACATCGTGTACTGTTCTTGGTTCGGGAAATTCCTTTATGGCCCTGACCTTTTTCAGGTCGGTGGTAGTGCCATCGCCTGTGACCATGAATCCAAGAAAATACGCTTTTAAAAAAAAAAAATGGATTTTTTCACCGAGACCCTCATGTTCGCATCGCTTATAGTTTTCAAAACCCAATCCATGTGCTTGATATGCGCATATTCATCTTCTGAGAAGATTTTTATGTCGTTAACTAAACGTTTGTTCTGAACACCGTCCTCATTTAGGCGCTTTTTGTCAACTACGCATACCGGGTTGTAGACTCTGGATTTCTTTGTAGACGAAATCCGCTGCCCCCATAGGGTATGGATATAATTTAGCGTAGATGGGCTCCTCGCTAGTTGTCCTAATTGTGGCCACCACGGACGTATTATACGGCAGGGCCACGTCGGGGTCCGCGAAGGCGCTCTTTCGGTTTCTAATCATCTCCCTGAATGCCTTCTTTCTTCGTTTACGTTAGTGAAGTTGACATTAGCGCATCTATGGAACCAAACGAATGGCCATGGAACCTCTCAACCTCATTGCCCTATTTTAGCTGTGCAGAAGCAAGGCAAAGTGTTGCGCCGGCCTGTGCTAACAGATCGGCCCCTATTATCCCATCAAGTTATGTAGGATCTGGTAAGACGAAAAAAGTAGGTCTTTAAATTAAAAATCGAGACGAAACCTTTTTCTATCACCAGATAGTGCCATGAATCGAATGAATTTTAAAAGGTGCGTCCACCGGGCGGACACCCTTTAGCTCTTTGTAAGGTGGATAAAATTCAATAAGGAACTTCATTGGTATCCCCGCTACTCATGGTCTGAAGACGGGTAGCAGGGATTTTATATATTGATTTTATATTTTGACGATTTTAATATATGACGTTAGAATCCAACTCGTAGATGGCGTCGTCATTTATCTCTGATTACGCTCTGGCGGCGTTATATGCTCCTGTCTTCTCTTCCGCCATTTGCGTAATGCAATTAATTTTCTGCTGTTTCTTTATTGCGCCTGTACGCTCAGAAGTGGCTGGCCTTCTGCTTTGGAAGGCCGGTGCCTGGGTCGGCCGCAGAATCCTAGAAAACGAAGGGTCAACATTCATAGGTTCTACCGTGCCATTGTTTTTGTATGGCTTAGCATTACGCGGGTCGGTGTGCACGTGCGCCTTATTCTGCTTGGTAAAATACGGATTTTTGGCATTACAGGGCTTTGAGTCATACTGGTGGTCGCATCTATCAAACTGCCTACCCTGAATTTTTGCACCCGGTTTACGCTCTTTGTCTTCTTGACTTCTTGCGAAATTGGCTGCAAAAACATACCTCTCGTGGTTAGCTTTTACTTATAGTGCTAACGCAAGAGCTGACGGCATGTCCCTTGGCTTAGCCGCGAAAAGCACGTCAGTCAAGTTGCGTTTAAGCCCCGAAACGAAAATGCGCAAAGCATCGTCTCGGAACTTGTCGCACAATATCTTTGCGTACTGTACGTGTACGTGAAATCCAGGCGATTTATAATCGCATCGAAATTAGGCACGGTGCCAAACGAGGACAATACATTATCGGCCGCGCCCCTAATCTTATTTCTAATAATGGTCACCGCTTCGTAATGTCGCGATGTGCCGTTGTAATTCTTAATAATTGAGTCCTGAGACCCTGTAAATTCTGGTAGGTATTTAACCGTGTCAAAGGTTGCGCTACACTGGGTATTATCAGTAATGTCTATGGGCTCGTAAGCCCTTATTTCGGGCCACAGTTTTACGAAGTTAATTTTGTATTAGCTGATTATAAGCCGCTGCCTCTGCTATGGCGTTGGATACAACCGCCTGAATTACATTTCTGATTTGCTCTGGGTCTATTGACATTGTTTGAGAATTCGCGGTTACACGTTTACGAGAGGGAGCTAGATTTTCAATATCGGACTCTGAGTCGCTGGATATTGGTGTGCTATTGCTATATGTCGAGAATGCGGGCTTCATGCGCGGTTTAACTTGCCTGCGCTTGTAATAGCTGTCTTCGTGGGTAGCAGGTGCCAAAGGCAAACGAATAACAACCAAAAACAAAAGCTACAGCGCCGAATACCGCGCTCGAATCGAATGGAAACATAAAACAACAACAATAAGTAAACAAGCGCTGCTTTAAAAATTAATTATTAAATTTTCACTTTCACTCAGATAAAACTCGCGTTATTTTTCTTGGTATTGACCGGCCATTTAGTAAACTTGCTGGAGAATTATTTGATCTTAACTTAAAATAATTCAAAAATTTCTGGCTGTAACGTTGACGTTTAATTGTGATTTTTTGTGATACCTATAAATATATTTCATCTTAATAATTTTAATTTCGCAGACTTAAAATCTTTCAGGCATAAATTCCCACTCACATGTTTTTCACCGTATTCGAATTGATTTAGCTACTGATGACTGTTAGGTGGTGATGGTGGTCGAACCACTGGTTGAGCGTCAATTAGTTTATTATGTGTGTTAGGAGACGGTCCCCCGCTGCAGTCACTCTACTTTGGCCGGTTGGCCGATGAGCGTAGTCCACAGGTAGCGGGCGGTCGTTCCTCGCTCTAGTTGGAGATCGCTAAGAGCGTCTAGCCGCCTGGCTGTATTTCCTGTTGGAATAGGAAGGTTATGTTGTTAGGGGAACCCTTCTTAACTGCTGGCCTAGATACACAGTCAGTTTTCAAAATGATAAAAGATATTTAACGGCTGTTGCCGGAGTAGCTAGCTCTTTATTAGCAGAGGTCTCGCTTAAAACTGAAACTTAAATTATAACAAAAGCGACTCGCAGCGGCCACGCATATATGCAGTGTTTTGCCAGCTGCGCACGAGCATCCGGCCCAATGCTGGGTCAGCACGCCGGTATTATTTTTCATGCACTGAGCCAACTGTTCTAGTACGTTGTCTCGTGTTAACTTGTACAATAAATAACGTAGTGTGACTGTTTGTTAGATTAGTTAGAGTGGCTGCTTGCTACATAAATAAATAAACTTATAAATAAATATAAAAACTTTTTATAGAGATGTCCAATTTTTGAGGAAGTCAACCGAACCTCGAAAACTAGTTTATTCAAATATAATATACAATTTTGAATTTCACTACTGCACTAGTACACAGAAAGAAATCGTTCTAGTGATAATACCAAAATGTAGAATCATATCGAAGATAATAAGCGCTTGTCAAAACAACACATTAGCATCAAGAGGAAAGTAAAACAAGGGAGAATGCTATAGGCCAGTTCCCCGACTATCAGATACCCGTTACTCAGCTAGTGGAAGTGCGAAAGAGAAAATTTAATAATTTTCTGGAGTATCGGTAAAAATTTGGGGGCAAAAAAAAAATAAAATGAAAAAAACTAAACATTTTTTTAAGTGTGAGCGTAACAGTTTTGGGCGGTAGAATGGGCGTGGCAACATAATTTAAAAAAACTTGCGCTGCGTCTATGTTTTAGGAATCTGCATGCCCTATCTAAACATTCTAACTTATATAGTTCCAGAGATTTCGAAAAATTTCCGTCCCGCCATTGAATTTCGAATGTTTTTTTTTTGTAATATTAAATATTTAATATAGAATAAAAATTATTTATTGACGGCTAATTAAAAAAATTAATAAACCATCTAAATTGTTTCGCGATAAGAAATAAGAGTGACTCAAAGGCGGAGATCAGCTGTTGTAAATGAAAGTTGTATACGCAGCCACTGCACGAATTTGACCAAGCGGAAATTCGTTTACCGCTGATATCCACTGCTACCTAAATCAACATAGTGATCTGCCTGAAATCTATCTACATGTGATAACGTAGGCACTGTCATACACCAGAAGTATCCGCCTGTCGAACAGGTTTTCACATCATCAAGACTCAAGATTAATGGCCCAATTACCGTTTTTGGAAACTACTTCAGCGCTGGGGAAGAGTCGTGACGTTGCTACGCGAAGGTTTTTATCCCTGGAAATGCGATTGCAAAGTCTCAAGCAATAAAATAAAGATATATAAAGTTCACGAATATTTATTCGGATATTTATATTGAAATCTCATTACTTCATACCACATCATTGCGTACTTACGCAGTCAGCACAGTCAAACAATAAATTTAAGAGTGGTTTTTGACGCTTCGGCAGCTACGTGATCGGGAGAATACCTAAATGATTCATTACATAAAGGTCCAACAGTTCAAAACACGTTAATGTCTATACTCCTGTGATTTAGAATGCATAAATATGTGTTCACTGCCGACATTGAGAAAATGTACAGGATAAATCATAAGGATCAACATTACCAAATTATTATATGAAAACGACCCTTCAGAAAATTTAAAATGCTCTTTAAATTCAACGGAAACTTATCAGATCCTGCTTAAGTCCGGATTCAAATTAAGGAAATGGTGCGAAAATAGTATCCACCTTATCCAAGGAATAAAAAAGGAAGATGTAATCCCTTTAGTGCAATACTGCGTTCGGGGATTGCAACACAAAAACTTTAGGAATTACATGGAATCCTAAAAGTGATCAACAAGTGATCAGAAACGAATACCACTAAAAATATAAGATGTAGTTTCTCTCTAGTTGACATAATAGCAAAAATATTTATGCAAGGTTTAGTAAGCTATAGCTATAGTAAGCTAAACATAATGCTGCTGATATAGCTTGCAACGAACTGTTTTTCTTGAAACTGCTCGCTACGAATTGCAACGGCTAGCTCAGAGAGTTTGTTCGTCCCACCAAATTTATGATTTCTGTGATTGCCCAACTAAGGAGAAGACAGGGTTCAGATTAAGTTAGCTTTATTGTTAGACCTTGCCGTAAGCTGCGCGGAGTCGCTCCTTCGTCGTCCTGTGGCGTCCTCGACAGCGGACCCCGTGCCGGCTAGAATAATATCTAGGATCTCTAATATCTCTTCCCAGAACCACTGTTGCAACACCTGGAGGCGCACGTCCGTTAAGACCGCTCCTGTCACAAGACACCAACCTCTAACTTCACAATCCCTTCTGACCACGCCAGGTCCCTGTGTTCTCCGTGTCCCGTATATCTCTTCGTTGCTTCGCTCCGTCATTTGCAGTGATTGTCCTTGTATGTCCGCTTTTGACACTAACGGCTAATTCCTTGCTGCGTCCTGCCCGTCTTACTGACCGGTATCTTATCGACGAGTGCGCGTTTTTCACTGACGGGTTTGCTATTACCTTTCTGACTGTTGCTCTCTCACTGTCCCGAGCTGCGCTTGCGCCGTCCTTTATAGGCCGAGGTAATCCCGTTATTTTCCTATTTGCCCACCGCCTGCTCGTGTTCAAGGTCCACAAATGTCCCTTTATTCACGGTGCGTCCTCTCTGTGCTCGTCCAAAGTCCACACCTTTACTATTCGACCGCTGCGCCCTTCGCCGCCTAATTTCTACATAAATGCCAATAAGCATGAATCCTGGCATGACTTTCTATTTCATCCCGATAAAAATACGTAAAGTGTGATATTTTTCTTAATATCTAGTCAAAAAAAGGCAGCAATGGTTTTATATACCTTTTGTTGTTTTCTTTGACCCGAGGTGTCGAATTTGTGCTGTCCGAATTTATTCCAATTGTTTTAACAGAAAAAGGGGGTTGAGATATACATAGGTGTGAACACGGTTTGACTTTTCGGAAAATTTTTTGCACTTCCATGCGGATGCAGTAGTAATTGTTCATGATGTGTGCTACAGTGGTGGACACTAATTTAGCCCACTATGCATGGTCGATTTTCTTTTCTTATTTTTTCAGTTGTTAAAATGATTAGATCAGTAATATTTTATTGTGCGGGTAGGTTACTAAGTAGATAAGAAGTACCGTTATTTTCACCTCTCAAGCTTTCTTCTTCGTCTTCTTTCTTGGCATTCGTTTTTATCCAGACACCCCAAAAAATGGCTGGACACGAATTTAGCACACTTGACAAAACAGTGTATTTTTATACAGTAATAAATGTTTTTTTATTTTAACATTTAATATTATGTTGGATATCCTTTATGCTTATATACTTCATGAAGTCTATGTGGCAAACTCTCCACGAAAGCTGCGCATCCCTTCTTCGGTATGGCAGACCAAGCTTTTTTTATTGTGCTCTTTAGTTCATTTAAATTTCTGGGTGTTAAAAGTCCAATCTGCTTCTGAACATCCACCCGAAAATTCTCAATAGGATTGAGATCGGGGGACTGAACTGGCCCCTTCATAACGTCAATATTGCTATCCTGAAGGCAACTCTTCACTAAACGTTCATAAAACGCCAGTGTAATGGTAAATTATCATCCTCATAGAGGATCATAACATCAGAGATTATTTTTTTATAGACTTGTTGATCCATCCGTTGATCTGTCTTGTGTACTGCACCTACACCATGCCAAGAAAATGCTGCCAAACCATTACATTTCCTCCACCATGCTCTTTATGGTGTATCGTGGATGGTGTTGCATGTTCGGAGGACTCCAAACATACTTTTTTCCGTCTGATCCAAATTGATTTCTAAAAATCAGAGGCTTGTTTATATGCTCCTTGGCGAATTCAATTCTTGCCTTTATATTTTTTTTTGTGCTATATATATTTTTGTTGTGCTATACATCCACGTAGATTTTTTTCATTAAGACGTCTTCTTATCGTACTGGAAGACACATTTACTCCTTGGGTTAATGAAATTTAATTTCTAATCGTTCTTGAACTTATGCAGGGGTAAGCTCTGGTCGCATTTTGAATGAGACTGTCCTGCCAGGCTGTGGTTTTACGGGGTTGGCGTATTTGTTTTTGCCTTTTTGCATTACCATTGTTTTCAATATGTTTCAAAGCGTTATAAATCATTTTTCGAGAGCAGCCAAGATCCTTTGAAATATATGAAATTGATTTTCCCGCCGATTTCATGATTTGGCTGACATCTTGCTGTGCTTCAGTACACCAGCGACCTTTAGCCGTTTTAAACCGAAGTTTTTTGTATTTACCGAAGTAATAAAGCACAATTAATTAATTTAAGATCGAAAAAATTCACTTGCTTCCAACAACTGTAAGTATAACGATCAAAATGCTCAAGTGTGCTAAATTCGTGTCCAGCCAATTTTGGGGGTGTTTGGATAAAAACGAATGGCAAAGAAAGAAGACAAAAGCTAGAGAGGTGAACATAACGGTACTTCTTTTATACTTAGAAACTGGCAAGATTAAAATAAAATACATAAATTCAAAACTATTCTGAATAGTGTTTTCGTTTCAGTTTTGGGCGGCTTATGGGCGTGGACAAAATAGTTTTGTCATGTCAACTAAGACACAAATATTTTTAAAGTGTGGTCGTGGTTGTGGCTAGATTGACTCAGCTAGTGATCCTGATCACGAATATATATTCTTTTCTTGGTAAAAAACGCGTAGTTTTCTTGCTCAATTAAAATATTACTGAAACTATTAGCTCAATTATTATTCAGTTAGTTTTGGCTCTTCTCACCTTCTTTACCGTTTCATGGTGTCCAGTTCGAAAATTACAAAGATTACAAAGCGCTCCTATACACTGTTCCTTGTACCTCGGTGACCATGAAAAAATACCACTCTAGACATGAAAAAGGGGAAATAACGAAATGGGTCCGGCATATAAAGGGACGGCGGAAGCGCACCTCGGTCGGCACAGTCAGATTACGTCATGAGAATGGCCGATCAAATCTATGGGGCGCTCAGACATGAGGCGAGACAGTCGAAACGTGCTAAATAAAATATTTTAAATGGAATCCAGTCAAAGAGAAGCCATCCGTAAGACCTGTGAAATATAACCAGTCAATTATAAAAGAGCGAAAGAACAGTCCCCGCAAGTGAACGAG